CCTTAGTTTCACATAGTGAAACTAAGCAACTTCGTACCTTCGTTCTACGAACCCTTGTTTATTCTGAACTTCGTTCGCGAAGGAACCGGACTTTTGACGGGCCAGCCCTTTTTTATGCGCCGCTTTACCCTGAAAGGAAAATTAGCTTTGCTCCTCTGGGCGCTAGGCGCTCCCGTGATTCGCGAGAAGGAAAAAGAACTCATCCTTTGTTGCATCTGGCACGAGATGATAAAGAGAGAGCTTCGTCTATCGATGAACAGCGGATTGACGGAGCTCTTGGCATTGCTTTGTTTTTCTCTTCTTTCCTATCAGCGAGTTCCGACCCTTTTGTTAGAAATTTATTCGTTTGTACTGAACCGCTTGCAGAATCAAATCCTGTTCCACAAGATCCTATATCAGCTATACATCCTCCTTGCATTTATGCCGGAGACGTCGCCAGTGCTATGGGCTTTGCCTTATGTAGATCAAAAATGATGAATGGGGTTGTGGCACTCCACTCGCCGCCAATGCGAAAGGATGCCGCCGAAAAGAATGTAACACTGTTTCGCTCTGTTGGATGCGTCGGATCCCGCGAGCTCTTTACCATAAAATTGGGCGATCCTGCTTTATTGTTACGTAGCAATAGAAGCCCGCTCATGCTGCTTCGGCGGCGCTTTTTCGCCTTCTCTTCGCTTTGGACAGGAGCGGAAGCCACTCGACTGATATGGAGAGGAGCGCTAGTGGACACGGGGAGGGAGCGTGTCGTTCGTAATGGAACGCCTCTTTGTTGGACCGCCGGCGCGAACACAGTGGTCTCTGACTAGGACCAGGAACCAATTCGAATTTGGATCTTGACATGTCGGTGGTTTTTAACCGTAGGCATTTTGCCAGGAAGTTGGTGGGCTTATCATGAATTATGTCGGGGTGGCTGGTGGTTTCGGGATCCCGTAGAAAATGCTTCTTTTATGCCTCGGGTATTAGCCACAGCTCGTATTCATTCAGTAATTCTACCCCTTCTTCACTCTTGGACCTCGTTTCTGAATATTGTTACTTTTCCATGCTGTGTCTTAGGAACCTTTTCAATACGGTCCGGATTGCTAGCTCTCGTTCATAGTTTTGCTACAGATGATACACGAGGAATCTTTTTATGGCGGTTCCTCCTTCTAATGACCGGCATATCTATGATTCTTTTCTCCCAGATGAAGCAGCAGGCATCGGTCCTAAGAACCTATAAAAAGGAGATGGTTGTGGCGCGAAGTACTCTTGTCCATTCGGCTCACACGCAACCCCGCCCCGTTATGTTATGGAATAATTGAACTTCTTGCTGGGCTGGTTATAGCAATTCGTCCCGCAACTAGAATAAGATCGCTTCGGGGGAAGCTGGCCGGTCACTTTTCTCGATATCATAAAGGTGTACCCCTAGCATTGCTCAAGATTCTTATTCCTTTGTTTTCATGAAACAAAAATACGTTTTTTTTCTTTTTTGGACTGAACCTAATTTCCCATTATGTTGTTTTTTGGTTTTTTATGTTTTGTTTCTCTTTTTAATTTTTTGAAATAATTTAATAACATTTCTTTTTTAGTCAAAATTAAAATAAAAAAGAATAAAAATTAAAATAAAATGAAGAAAAAAAAAGTATGCGGATTGTTACTTTTATAGAAAATGAAAAATTAAGTCATGAAAGAAATTTCTTAAGCATCCATCTAAAATACTTTTGGGCCCAACTACTAATTGATAAAAAAGATTTCTTTAGACAAGAAAATGATCGAAAATATTTCATTTGAGACAAATGAAGTGAATGTTAATTTTTTATTTCAAACACAAATATTTTTATTTTTTAAAATATTTTAAAAATTAGTCTTGAAAATAACATGCAGGCATTTATGAAACAAGAGAAGAAAAAAGAAAAACAACAAAAAAAAGAGTGAGACATTGGTGTCAATTTCTAAAACTATGAAATAGCGGAATTATTTACATGTGATTTAAAAGATATTTTAGTTTGGAAGTACATTGACGTCAAAAATCAAAATAGTAAAAAATAACGACGTACTCCCTCCGTCCCAAATTATAACGCCTGTTTTCCTTTTTCGTCCGCCCCAAAATGATATGCCTGTTTCCTTATTTGGTATGATAAATGTTGTGTACTTCCAAAAATACCCTCCATATAATTACTCCTACCCAACGACTCATCTCCCTCATTCATTCTCGATCTTATCTTCTGCGTCTCTCCCCTTTCTCTGGCAAACCTCATCGTTCCTCTTTCATCTTCCCTGCGTCTCTCCTCTTTCATCACTTTCCTCTCTCAGATTTGCTCTTTCATCCTTCTCGTCTTCTATCCTTTCATTTTTCTCCTCTGTCCTTTCATCTATTCTTGTTTTTCTGGAATTTGGATCTAGGGTTTTTCTTTTCTGATCTGCGATTCAGATCTAGGGGATACCCGACCCGTTCGAGATCCAAGGTTAGTTTTTTCTCACATTTTTGTATATTAAACTTATTTCAACAATCTAATTAATGTTTTCATTTGTTTTTTTGTGTAGATCGCAGACATGGATGGAACAGATGATGAAATGGATTTCTCATCTGCCCCTAGTACTCCAGATTCATACGAATCAGAGCTCGAATATGTTTTTGACGAGATTCGTATTGAAAAGCAGATGGAAATGGTGAGGGAAAGGCTTGCTGCCTATTACAAGCCCAAAGAGGATGAGCCTAAAGAGGTAAAGAAGAAAGAGGATGAGGACGATGATGACACCCAATCTGAGTCCTACGAATACGAAGAGGGGGATGATGTTCTGTGGGAATATTTTATCTCAGATCCAAAGCGACGCTACAAAGACTTCTAGGGGATTATTCCTCTATTCTTATGTGGGTGTAATATTTCAATTATGTGTCTCCTTATGTGCTTTAGTCTACTTCCATACACTAACTGGGAAACTAATGATGACAATTTGCACTGAATTTTGCAATATGACTATATGCCTGAGTGGTGTTTGTAATTTGCTTATGGTGAGTTTTGTGATGTTTCTGTCTGTCTTATGGAACCCTAATCTGTATTCCTAAAGTCACCCACTTCAGATTAGTGTAGGAGGTAACTGTGAGTGGCCTCCCACTATATGTAATGTGTTTGGAGGTTTTAAGAATATGAACAAACATACATTCATCCCAAAAAATGTTTGCTTACAAAATACTGCCCATACACACTTTTGACAAAAAAAACCAGTTAAGTGCATATGATGAGCATATTTCAAAACCAAAAAACAAAATGATGAACATAATTACACTGCTTCTGATGCACTCCCTTCCCCTTCCCCATGAGTAGCTGGAACACCCTGTAAAGCACACACACTGGCCTGATACAGTTTTGTGCTTACCTGAAGTTGGTTTGGCAGTGCACCTTCCCTTTCTAGTCTTGCCTTTCCAATGTGTGCCAACTTGTAATTATTTCCTCCTTGTACCTTCATGATCTCTGTCATTGCTAACTGGTAACTAATCCAAACATAGTTTAGTTTCTTAGCTTCTAAATTGGCATATGCTTGAGCCACATGTTGAACCAACTCATCCACATTTCTTGTTGATGTCTGATGTTGTAATGACTGAATTGATGCAAAGAACCCCAGGTCTAAAATATTTAGGTCTGGTGAGTTTGGTGGTTGACAAGTTAGCTCAATGCTGTAACCATCAGCATTGGCTACTTGCACAAACTCTGGGTCATTAACATCAATATGTGGCTTTGCATTATCCTGCTGTATGATGATGTGTTTAGTGATGGCTTCTGGTACCTTCTCCTTTATTGCTGGCAGTACTTGCTGAATCATGAGTGTTCTGTACACCTCTTTTGTGATTCTAGGTATGGGTTTGGTCTCTAAAGTTCCTGCAGCCCTATTCTTACTCCTCCTTTGTGCTGGAACTTGAATTGTTAGAGGCCAAATGCCTACTTTCCCATCCCAAATTACTTCCCCTTCAGGACCAAAGATAGGCCTCCCTACTGCACATAAGTGCATCAGTTTGGGAATGTGAGCTTTACTTTTAGCTGTCCTATGGGGCTCTCTCTCCCTTTCAGTTTTATACACTCTCAATGATGGTTTGGACATTTCAAACCATTTTTCATCTACATGAATAGTACAGGAGAAATCTTTAAAAATGGGAGAGTGTGGAAGGGATTCTGGAACAAACTGGTTTAACATGAAAGCTAACCTTTTCAACTTGTTCTTTTCTGTGAGGAAAGGTTTGATAGCATTTGTGTGGCTTTGCAGTTGCCCTTGTTGTATGCACCTATGTAGTGTGGATTTTGGTACTTGTATGGCTGCAGACAGTGAGCGTATGTTTGTTCTTCTGTGGAATGGAACTGTCTTTATCTGTTCCAAATTTAACTGCACTCTTTTTCTACCAACGATGCCAATCCTGTTGTTACTTGCATCCAAAACAGACTCATCCATAAGTTGGTTACGACATGTACGCCAAAGTGAACTAACACTTCTACGGCATACATTGAAGTCGTTCATGATTTGTTTAATCGTGCCGTGCTGAAGTTTCCTGTTAGTCGTCTTGTGAAGCAAACAATCTAGGATTACTCTCCTTTCCATATTCGTTAAGTTTCTCCTGGTTTTTTTAAGTGGAGGACTAACCTCTTCTTGCTGTTCTTGTGCTTCTTCTTCTTCTTCTTCTTCTTCTTCTTCTGTAACAGGTGCAGCCCGAGAATTTCGTTGAAGTGGTTGAATGCTTGAAGATGATGCAGGGGCTGTTTGGCTGGAGTTGATGGAGGGCAATGGATTTTCCATTTTTTGGGATTTGGCAATGGATGATCCAGGGAGTTGAAGGAGTGTTGCTTTCCTTTTATAGATCTGGCAGTTTTATTTTTGGTGTAATGGAGGGAATTTTTCCCTCCAAGACTTTGATTGGATGTGTACTTAGATTTGGTGATGGATTTGGTGAATGTAATGATTTGTTTGGATATTTTATTGTGATGTGCGTGTATGTGTAGCTGGAACTGTTTTTGATTTTTTGGTTTGTTCATTATTTCATTTTTAGCTTCAAATATTTAAAAAATTAAGTTAGGGGCATTTTGGGAAAGTCAACCTTAATTTTCTCCTTCCTTAAATATGGCCTAAAGTCAAAATAGGCACTATATTATGGGACGGAGGGAGTAAATTTTAAAATCATTTTATTAAGTCAAGCGAGTTATTGACAAATTGGTACAATCAACTCTTCCATAGAAAGAGTACCATGAGAATGGGTTTGTATTGTGTAAACCAATGTTATTAGAACCGGACAACCGGTCGGACCGCGAACCGGTGAGGAATCCGGTCCGGTTCAAATGTAAAACCCGGATCAGCATCGACCCGCCCAGACCCGGTAGACCCGGCGGAACCGGTGAACCAGGTCGACCCGGCCGGCTCGCGGGTTTCTTTCTAAAGTTTTTTTTTATTTTTTTTGCCTACAAAATAAAATGATGGAGCTAGGAATTGAACACTAGACCTCACCATATAATTCTCTAAATCTATAACCACTTAAGCTACTCAACTCTTGTTAACAAAGTCATGCCGAATAGTATATATAGTGTTTTTTATTTGTGTTGAGTGAATTAAGAAAACTTCTAACTATTTGTAAGAAAGATCATGTTTGTGTTGTATGATTATTTTAAATAGTAATGAATAATTTATATCTAAACAAATATTATCATCTATAAAATGAAGAAGTATATACTAATTATAATGAAATATGGAAAGTGTGAAAGAGTATATGAACAATGACATTGAAAATAACATAAGGAAGAAAAAAAATGCAATTTTAAATATTTTATTTAACATCGACAATAACATTTACATCTTTCCTTAATATGTGTGTCCGATTCAAATGGAAAGATTAAAGTTAGACAAAGGGAGTATGTGCTTCGTATTATTTTGAAATAATATGCATATTTAAGTTATGTGATAATATTTTATTATCTTTAAAAATAGTTCACAAAATATGGTATTATTTAATTTTTTATTATCTAAACATAAATATGAATATTATATACCAATTACCAAGTAATGGGTCGTTGACCCGAGTCAACCCGGTTCGACCGGTTGACTCTTGACCCAGTGGCTTGTCCGATTCGATGTCCGGTCCGGTTTTCAAAACATTGGTGTAAACCACATTGGATATGGATATGTTACATTCAGTTTAGGGAGTACGTACTTCATTGGCGTGTACCCATAACACGTGTCTTGTCATATTCTCTTTATTGCATCTAATTGGGCAGACAAAAGACGTGCGTCTATGTGGAAATTTTGCACTCTCCATCCAAAATTCTTACTCCCTCTGTCCCAAATTATTTGCCACATTTGTATTTTCGAGGTAAAATATTAATTTTTTTCAATTCATTTTATTTACATATTGATAAAGAAATAAAAAATAAAATTTACATATAAAAAACTACATGAAAAGTTCTTCGAAATAAGAGGTGTCAAGAATATTTTATTCTATCAAATAATCAATGAAAACATCGAAATAAACAAAAGTTCCCGACACTGCTGAAAAAGCAAATGTTGTGAATTTTTAGGGACGGAGAGAGTATTTTATTGTGCTTTTGAGCTTTTCCTTGGTTTTAATTTAATACGGAGTATCTTTCTTCTTGTTGCGAAGAAAGATATTAAGTTTTTTCAATTTATATCATTTAAATATTGATTTAGAAATAAAAAATAAAATTTATATATTTAAAAACTTCATCAAAAGTTCAACAAAATAAATAGTGACAAAAATATTTTATTTTTGTTCAACCGAAGGATTTGCATGCAACCAAAGCTTGGGTAACCGAACTAGCTCCGCCAAAACCGACGAACCGTCTGTGCCACACCGTCTGACGTTCATAGGATGGCGTCCACCACCATCTCGCACAACTTCCAGCAGCGCCGACCCAGTGCGCTCATTTCCAAATCCAAATTTTCAATGTGAAATTTCAAAAATAAATTTTAAGTAACTCGGTACGTCTTAGCTAGGGGCTCTACCCCTTGAATCCTGCATCGCGCCAGGAGCTCTTGCCCCTTAGACCCACCGCTTTCAGGTGCACTTACCCCTACCCTGCCAAGGGGGGCAAACGGGTAACACCCCTTGAGAACCACATTTGTTTAATACGGAGTATATCATTAGACTTGAACTAGTATATGTTCCGTACTTTCTGACTTGTTTGATAAATAATACGACTCCACTTGATCAACAAATATTAACCAGGGGTACCATAAAATATTAGTGTTAAAAAAACAAATTAGTCCAATTATATATACTACCTCCGTCTCAGTGTATTTGTCCAGTTTAACTTTTTCGAGTCAAACTGGACAGACTTTGAGCTCTAATTACTCTCAGTTTTCATTGAATATTAACATAATGAAATACGGAGTACAATTTTGATAATTCTCAATACGATAAATCCAATAAAGTCATTTTTATGTTAAAATATATTATGGTTTTCATTTAATTGAAGCTCAAAGGTTGTCCAGTTTGACTAGAAAAAGTCAAACTAGACAAATACTTTTGTCACCTCTTGTTTTGTAGAACTTTTGACGTAGTTTTTTAATATGTAATTTTTATATCTTATTGATATACCAATTTATAAATAAAATGATTTCAAAAAATAAAAAATTTTACTTCGTAACCCGCAATTTGTAATCAAATTGGGGAGGGAGGTAGTAAAATATTAACAAGGGCACCTAAGACCTAAGGGAAATCCCATCCCATTCCCGTACGATCCGGTCCGGGTTGGGAACACGGATAAACGCCATAACTCAAAAGGAAAAGAAAAAGGATAAGATCAGAAATAAAGAAAGGATTGAACAAACAACACAAGGTCCACATGACATGCAAATGGATACGCGCATATCTGAAATTAAGATTTGGGCCCACCGGCCACGTACTCACATACAACATTGTTGATTCTATACTACGGAATATACCATATGTTATTCCCTACACAAAAATGAAAGCCAAATAACTCTCTTGTCCCCCGCTCGTTTGAAATGAAAAATTGGTATTAATATCACTTCTGTTTTCAACACATATTTTTTAATGTCTCTGTGGTTTCAAAACGTTGCACTCACGTCTCCTCTGACCATTTTCCAGCGAAGAGGCGACATTGACGCATAATTTCTAAACCACAGGGTACACTCGTTCTCATTTCTTATTTTTGGTTTATTATTTGTGTTTTTCTTTTTCTTTTGAGTATTTTCTACCTCCTTTTCCTTTTCTTAGATTTTTTAAATTTCTTTTCAATTTTTTATAATGTTTTAAAAATTTTAAAATTCTTTGTGTTTGAAATAAAAAAAATTAACATACATTACATCTATGATCTATCTCAAATTAAATTTTTTCACTTTTTGTAACTTAGAATAATTTTTTAGAAATTTCAAAAAGAAAACTCAGAATAAAAAAATAAAAATATAGAAAATCCAAATGAAAAAAATTAAAATACGAAAAAAGAGTCTTATACAAAAAAAATAAACATGCCTAAAAAATTTATTAGAATTGAGATGTCAAAAAAGGATATTCATTTTTATTTTTATATTATTTTGTTTCTTATTTTATTCCTCATTTTTTTGGAACAACAAAAATTATTAATTTGTGATGTACAGATGCATTATATGTTAATTTTTTCAAATAAAAATAATTTTAAATTTTAAGAAAATTGTAACAATAATTTAAAAAACCTTTATTATTAAATGTAACAAATAAAGGAAAAATGGAAAAAACAAAAAATAAACGAGAAATAAAAAATCCGCATCGGTACGCCATATCTTAAACATTATAGAAGCTTGTAGAGACTTTCTATAAGATTCTAGATATGTGTATAGGATTTCAGAGAAGCCCAGCCTTGGTGATGAGTATAAATAAGGTATGCGGATGTCTCATTTGGGAATCCAAGAAGTGTGAAGAACTTAAAGGTTTCTTGACAGTGCTTGCGAGTGAGGTTTTGATGAAAATGTTTAAATTTAATGCAACTACAATTTTGGCGGCCATGCTAGGTGTATACCAAAATAATGTACTCATTTGTACACTAGACAACACAGACAACAAATATCTAGTGTTCACATATACACTTAATGTTTGTGTTTGCTTAATGTGCAAATATGGTATAATATGATTTTAATGTACCCTTACCTTTATTCTTATTTTAGCATATCACGAAAAGTTGAATTAATTGAAATTATTTCTCCATAAAAGTACCGTTGAGTATATTATTAGAGAACCAATTGATATTGTTGGTGTTCAATATATTCATCAAATTTGTCAGCCCATTTATTTAAGCCTAGGTAAGAAGTTTTATTTCATCAAATTTGTCACCCATTTATTTAAAGCCAAGGTAAGAAGTTTTATTTTTAAAGCCCATATCATATGTATCGGGCACACATGCCCAACTATAAAAATATTAGTGGGCCTGCGAAATGTCAATTCAGAAATTGTTCGGCCCGACTTGTTTTCTTCAAAAGATTGGCTTTAAAAAAACCAAATGGGATTAAATTAAACTCGAAATGTTGTTGGGGTGAACCAACTCACTCTCACTTTGAGAAATATGAGACTTTCACGCGAGTACATGT